AAAAAAACACCCAGCTTGCACTGCAGTGAACCAGGATGGTGGATGAAAGTGAGCGAAATTCTGATTAGAAGTAAGCTTAATTCATTCTTTACTGAAAAGTATCAATAAAATAGTAATCATTAAAAATGACTATTTTACCCAATATTTATGTGTTTTTTTTTATTAAGAGTATTACATTGTTATCTACAACATGCTACAGCTAACTGTCACTGATTCATTTGTAAAAACTGATTTATTGTAGAATTGATTTTTAAAATTCACGGCAGTCGAAACAGCAACAGAAAATATTCAGCTGAAAAAAAAAATTCTATTTCGGTCGAATAGTTTTGGAGTGCCAAAAGCAATGACCAAAACATTGATGCTTTATTAGCACTTTTCCAGTTTTTTGACTGTGTAAAATTTGTTCGGCTGAAATATTGAAAGAAGAGTCGTTGCTGAAGAAATGTATTTCGACTAGTTTAATTCTCACTTGAGAACACAACACCCTGAACAGTTCAATTACCCAATTATGCGAATTTAATTATCAAGACTTTATTTTCGATTTTGGTTTTCAGCTAAATTAAAAAAAAAAATGTTCAGCTAAACTTTAATTTTGATATAAGTGTTTAGGAAAATTCCGGTGCATTACTATTGATTTCACGTAGTGAAAAAAATCACAGCAAGTTTATTACTATTGCATTATTAGCTTAGCTCGACACTGAACGTCGTTTGAACACTATTGAATTCCCTGAAATCGCTGATAGCACCATGCTTACCAATTAAAACTACAAGAACTAAATGTCAGAACTTGCTTGCTAAAAAAAGATAATGTTGAGATTTTTGTTGACTCCATATTGCTTAGGAACAGTATTCGTCATGCCTGGACAAGGATGAATCACAGAGAAAGGAGAGGAAAGTGTTTTGTGCTGCAGCACAAGGAAAAGCAAACCATCAGCCTAGTGTATTTTAGCGTGAAATTATGTGTACTATAGTGTGTAAATAATCCGGCACAATGATTTCTTTGTCATTAGAGCCAGGCTGAGTGAGGAGCTGTCAAACGTGCTCGCAGTCGAGGCGGTCAAGTGCATGCATGCAGCATGTGCAGTAAACAGTCTGAACATGCCAGTGGCTGCGAGCAATAACCCGCTGTGTTTATGAGATTCACCATATGCACCATTTAGATTTTCACATTCCTGTCTCTCTGGTGCAGACGTATGGGAGGAATTGTTTGCAGCTGCACACAGTGCATTCATTCTGGGTACCTGTATGCATCTATGTGTATTGCATCATGTTTGCATACATGCCTCTAAGCATGCATGAGTGTTAGTAAACCTGACAGCTGCCCTCAAGCACCGGTTTGCATGTTCTCTGCGTGGCTGCGAGCGGATACTGACGCGTGGGTGCACGTCTGTCAGTAGACCCCTTTAGGTCTAACAGAAGCCCCACCTCCTCTTTCCCTCGCTCTCTCGCTATCTCTCCCGGAGGCAGGCTGAGGCAAATTGAGTCACGAAGCCCGGGCACGTGCCAAAGGCAGCCCTGAGCGAATTAAGATGCAGCTCTCCTCGCCACCTAGCACTGAGGCGGGGGATTCCTTACACGTGAGCGACTCTCCTACTTTCCCATCACATTCTCATGCTTTCTGCTTCTTTAGCAGCTTAACAGGGTTCAATCCGTGCATGCCTCCTCCATTCGTTTTGTCTGTTTTAAAACAGCCAATTAACAGGAACCACAAAGTGATCCAAAAACATATCAGGCGAAACTTCACAGCTATTGATATTCATTACATTTCTGTCTGGCCCCAACTAATCCGATCTGTGCTCCGCCAATTAAAGGCGCAGGAGCTTTGAGGTTCTGATCAATAGTGGACGTCCTCATCGCTCACAAGGTTTGACTTCACACACGGCCAGATGAAAGTTGCTAATTACTTAAAACCTGTTGACACCAAGAACGATAACTATAGAGATAACTATATTATCATCCACACCAACACACAATAAGGTTTTGTTTATTATAAACAGAATGCTTTAGTTTTGTCATCTACCACTTTAAATGCTCAAGCTCTTTAAAGTTGGATGGATTCTGATTGGCTGTCAATGGTTTTATCGTTCTGAAAGTGATTTCTCTGTGTCGTTATCGTTTTAGTTGTGATGTGGACATCTCTATAGAATTTGAGTGAATATTAAAACTCGATGTTATAGTAATCATTATAGATATCGTCCTTGGCGTAAATGACACTTTTGCATAAAGCTAATGAAAGGCAAGTGGTTTCAGACCGGATTCTACATTTGTGGCCACATTAGTGATATTCCAGGGAAATTTCACATACAATAAAAGTCCATTGTTTATTGTCAATAGCGTAGCGATGTATGAAGCACAACTCACACAGAAGTCACTTTCAAACCAAGCAGCTTTCTGTTGATCAGCACAGAGAATTTTAACTTGAACATGAGCGAAATCTGTGTATGGACATTCTCGCCATCACACAAAAAAATGTGCATTCCTATTAAATTGACTAGATTTCGACAGTGAAATTTCACCAAGCAACGATAAATGTAACTTCACCTTGCATGCATATGGCATTGTGATGTTATGTATATTTAAACTGACAGTAATTTGTAACAAAAAAAGTCATTAATTTTCAATGTGAGCTTGCGACTTGAGTGCACGTGATCTGCTGTATGATTAAGTTGGATGCTGCAATCAACTAGGAACCTCTCCTAGCAAACTTCAGCCAATGAATCACTGTTAGAGTCAAACTAAAATCAGTCGTTTGAAATGCTACAAGTGGATTTAGGAATCACAACATTATAATGTATATCATAACGTACAGTATGAAAAATGAATATTAATTTTGAGATTTGCAAAACAATATTAACAATGCAACAATATTAATTATAAATAATGTTTAAAATGAATAATTAACATATTTACATATAGGTGAATTAAAATATGGTAACATATGGCAGCATA